TTTAGTAACAATAATAAGTACATTTTACTAATATTAAACTTGTTTTAGGACACAAAAGTAAATAAAAATTAATCTATTCAGGTAACAAACTCATTATTTTAATGTTTGACTTTTCATGTACAATTATTTTTGTCTATTTTATATTATGAAATAAATTTTTGGAACTATTTAGAATTATTTTTTAATTTACAAAGAGTCAAACTTAGAATAGTTATAACACTTAAATTATTGATAGACTGGTTTATTTGGATTAGGTATGAATTTTTGTATATTAAATATATGAGCATGAAACAATATGGTTTATGAACTAATTTTTGAAGTCAGTATTTGTTATGCCAAAATATTGTAAGCTACTTTGAAAAATTATATTATGAAACAGAAAATTGTTTACTTTGGGTATATGTATGTGTTTATCAGATGTCTTAACTTATGTACCATAGCTGTATTAAAGAAATATTTCTGTTATTTGAAATTGCTTCTGCCAATTTGCCTTTTGTGTTAGTTTTAAGTAACATCAAATTAATTATATACACATTTGTTTGGAGCTTGTAAAGTAATATAAGGAAGAATAATAATGATTTAAACTCATGCACTAAAATAGTTTCAGTTTAGAAAATACCAGTTTCTTTCCAGCTCTTTAAAAATGTTGCTGAAAGAGGCAGATGGGGTGAAAAGCTTATGCAAGCTTACAATGACTACAAAGAAGGCAGAGTAAATGAAGCTTTTGTGAAATATGCCTTACTAGCAGAACTGGGGTATGAAGTTGCCCAGAGTAATGCTGCATACCTTCTAGACAGAGGTAATTTATACTAAAAACTTAATTTGCTGATATGTATGCAATGTATAGAATTTTCAGTTGTTTTTAAATTAAAAATACAGAATATTGTGTCTTCACATTATAATTTTAGTTTTTATAAAAGAAAAATTAACTTTTTGCTATGTAGTAAAGAGTTCATTTTTATTAAGACTTTGGCTTGATACATGTTTGTTGGGCATGCCAAGACAGAAGCTCCACTAACACTGTTTTAGTTAGGCTTGTGCAGAATGGAAGAGCTCATGACAACAATGTACATACGAAATTATACATACTATAACTGAGCATTCTTAATGTATCTTCACAAAAATTGAAAAGATTTTATTTTGTACTCAAAAAAATAATTTTTTTAAATCAAGTATTTCAACTTAAGATTTGTTTGAATTTATTTTAATCAGTTTCATTCAGACTATGACTGGTCTGAGTGTAAAGTGATTTTCATGTTAAGATTGGAAATAAATTTTTAATCTAATAGTTATTGATTTTGATTTACATTACCTTTAGAATATTCTAAATGAATATCAAGTTTTTAAAATAAATGTGTATATTTTATTTTTAATTTTCTCCACCATATTACTAACTGTAGCTATTATTATCAATGTACAGTGCAATGAAATTTTGAAAATTAAGAAAAGAAAATGTATGTACATAGCATTTAATTATTTGTTGAATAATCTTCAAATATTTTCTTTTGGGTATATTCATAATGTTATATGTTCCTTGCCTGTCCTTTACTGTTTATTATTCATCTCAATACACCAAAACAGGAAGACCCTAGCATGTTATAGTATTATTGGCAGGGATACACAAGCCTTCAATAAAATGTTTTTGTACTTACATAATAAGTTAATCCTTGTTTGGGTTATATAAAAAAAAATTATTAAAACCTTGAAAGGTGCATTTTAAAACAAATAAGATATAATTCACTAAAATATAAAAGTAAAACCTAAGTACAACTAACTCCATCATACTAACATCTATGTAGATAAGAAAAATAGTAAATGCTATGGAGAATGAAAAAGCTTCACCACTATTGGAAGTTAGTTATACTTGATAATGAATGCTGCCTTCCAGTTTCAAAATAACCATTGGGAGCTTTTACTTTAAAATAAGCTCTTTATGTTGGTTATAAACATGTACTACAAATAACTACAATGTTAATTTCGTTGATAAACATTGATAGTAAAGCTGTTTAAAAAAATTCTGAATGTATCTGTAAAACTGTGACTGCTCAGAAAGGGATCCCTAAGTCGAAAGAGTTAAAAGTAAATAGTACTTCTTTTTTTTTTTTTTGATCTACAGTTTTTGCATCATATTGAATTGTAGCTTGAAAATTTAGAAATCTCGAACTAGCATGTAATGAGGGGTCTACAACACAGAATAATGCAAGATGTTTAAAAATATATTAAACTTTGGTCAAAAAAGTATCCATAAAACATGAATAATGCAAATTTGCTCTCTCAAACACAAAGTGATCCTTTCTCCACATTGTTAAATTATCTTTTACAGGCACTTCTCTCCATGGTTGCAATAATACATTTAACAGAAACTTGCTGACTGTCTCTCTGATCAGTTGGATGAAACAGAACTAACTCCATAAACTAGGCATAGCATACCAGTGATCAAGATTTAAAGTTTCCTGATAAAAAGTCATCACATGACTCAATTTCACCAATCTGTAACCAAGACAAGCAAGTAGTGCTGAATTGGTATTTTGTGGTGTATTGTAAGCTGCCACTGCTTTAATAAAGAAAGAAAACAAGTTTAGCAAATTAAGAATTCAAATATTCCTGCTACAGACACATCTGTGTATAAATACGTTGTCAACTGCTGCATATCCCCTTCTGTTACTTGCAAACTTATATTGTTATATGAGATACAGATTTGTCACAGAAGTTTGTATCTCTGTTTTTCATTTCCATTAGAATTCTTGGTATGTAGGAAATAAACAAAAGTGGTGTAGATGTATTAAATCTGTAAGTACAGTTATATTTCTTAAATCTGTAGTACCTGTTTCTAATATGAAAGCTTTGATGAGTTTTCCTCAGTACCTTTTTTACAGCTTTTCTACTGATAACTATAAGCGTATTGGGTCTTCACTTTACTGTCTTCAACATTTTTAAAATTTGTTTTCAAAACTTTTTTAATATGAGTATATTCTGAGAGATCAATCTCATTTGAAAAACGTACAGTAAGAAAAAATCTACTTTTGTGTGTGTGTGTGTGTGTGTGTGTGAGTATGTCAGCTGTAATACCAGATTTGAAGACTTCATGTGTAGAGATGGTATGTAACCATAAGCCAAGTTTTATTGAAATATCTCTTCTGCTTCACCAGACAAGGTGATAAGCATAATCTAATTTTCATTTCAAGAGGGAAAGAGATCTATGTGAAACAGCTAATTGTTAAAGATGAAGGTCTTATCTCTATTTGGAGGGTTAACCAAAAGAAAGTATTTACTTCTTAGTTGGCCTTTAGCACCATCTTATGACTCATGGTGTTGGAAACAGTATAAAATAAAAAAAATACATTGTATGTAAATAATGTAAGGGTTACTTAGGGTTTTAAAACTAATCAGAAAGAAATAAGCTGGTTTAAAGTTTCACATAGTGTTTTTAAAGTTAATCATAATATGTTAGATTGTTTATATAATGATATTCAAGAAAAGCATTTGATTCACTTATTTCAGCATCTTTTTCAAATTGTTTTGTGGTATATATGACAAAATATGAGTGTAATGTGGCTATCACAGTGCATCAAGGATACCTGTACCACAGCAAATCAAGGATATCACTATGAAGCCACATTATATTCTTGATTTTCTGTGGTACTGGTATCCTTAATGTGCTGTGGTAGTGGTATCCTTGATGCATTGTGGTAGTGATATCCTTGATGCACTGTGGTAGTGATATCTGTGCAGGAGCAATATATGGAGTGGTGGTAACTACATGATGTGTAAGTTTTAAAAGTATGTATTATTTATGTTGCAGTGTTTTTTAATACTGTAATTTAATTGTTTGACAGGAGATGTGGATTTTTTTCCCAATAATGAAACTCATACTAGAGCACTTTTGTATTGGAACAGGGCAGCAGCTCAAGGTTTGTGTTTGTTATTAGTATGATTTTCTTGCCCAGTTTATAACACACTGTGATTACCCATGCTAACTTTGAATATTTTTTTCTGTTGATAAATGTAGAATATCATTTAGCACTGGATATTTTTTAAATTTTGGGGGTATCTCATTTTTCACTGATTATAATGATTCACATTTGGAATCAAAAATAGCACATGTTGAAGTTACTGTGTTAAAGTTGTTGGATTGGTCATTAAAAATAATTTTACAAGTTTTTGTTTGGGTTACGGATTAAATTAAATTCTAAGTGTTCACATTGTTTCCTAAAGACTTTTATTGCCTTTTCCTTGGATTTTAAGAAAGCCTTTCAGCTCCATATTGAGTTTTTCTTGAGTTCAGAAGCCCAAGATAAAAAAAAAATATATGCCAGTAAAATCCATAAGAAATGATGTCAACATGTCATCTACACAGTCTGACCCCATTTTGAAAGAAGTTCTTAATTATTATTTATTTTGAACATATTTGATCTTAAAAATGAATATAAAATCCAATCTGTCATTTTATTCACCACTTGTCAGGGTATTCCACCCCTCATCAATAAATCTGGACAATTGAAACAGGAGACAAGGTGGACTGTACATTTTTAGTATCTTAAACAGCTTGTCAGCTGAAAAATTCAGAAGAATAAATAAGTAGTTTCTATGCTATATATTCATCAAGTACTACATGAATGTAGTTTGGTTATTAGGTGAGTAAAAGATAACTAAAACCACCATATAATACTTCACTGTCAACATTGTATGTTTACAGGTTATTCAGCTGCTAGAGTGAAACTAGGAGATTATCACTACTATGGGTATGGGACAAATGTTGATTATGAAGAAGCAGCCAGTCACTATCGACTAGCATCAGAGCAGCAGCACAATGCTCAGGCAATGTTCAACTTGGGTTATATGCATGAGCAAGGTCTTGGAATGAAAAAGGTAAGGCATTTATTTGTATCCAAGTAATTAGACAGAAAGAAAGTATTGCTCAAAGATGGCTATACAGGAAGATTAAAAACAATAAAAAGACAAAATGTTTTGACAAGCTTACCTGTCATCAACAGGTACAAGTCAGTGTTATAAAATTACATTTGGCATTGTAACAGTTAAAGTGAAGCAGTTATAAAGCAGCTGAAATACCAGTGAATAAATATAGAGGGAAACCAGGATATTTATTTGTAGAGAGTTTCTAAATCTTTTTTGATAAGGCTTCCTTGACTTTTTTTTGTTTAGTTATTGTTTTCCTTACAAATTATGTGAAAAGCACGAGATAAGTGTTTGTGAACATAGTTGTGTCTATGTTGAAAGGTATAAGAAAGTGCATGATTGTGTCTTTTTATGCTGGTATTGAGTTTTCTCCCTGTTTCACCCATATAGCTTAATGTATAGTCCTGGAAGTTGTATTCATAAAAGAATTACTAATGTAGTTGTCTTGAAGTTTATGTGAATGAACACTACCTAGTTTTATGTCAGGAGTAAAATTAACCTTTACTTGCATGAAGAGAGAAACAACATCATAACTGAACATATGAGCACTTGAATCAAAATTTTGAAGCTTCTGAATGAATCCTTTTCAATTGTTCATATATAATGAAACAGAAATTACCTAAGGAGAAAAATCCTATGTCATAAATTTGTTTAGTTTCTAATTGTGAGCATCATAGGCTGAGAGAATAGGTTAAAGTGGGCACTTTTCTTTGTGGATTTTAGTGAGACAGTATAATTGAGAAAATCATACAATTCAAAAGAAAAGAGCCTGTCGTGTTTTAGTGTTAATAGAAAACTGTTGAGTTGATGTTTTCTGGATTGGGTGATGTTCTTGGAATAGGTTAAAATTTTAATTTTTAATTCAAGATACAATTAATTTTTTCGAATTTTCTTTTCTGTCCATGATTATTACTGAATTGTCTATATTGGCTTTTTAAATAATAGTAGAAGTTTAAACTTTAAGTCTTTTATAGCCTGTATTTTAAGTTGACATAGGTTAACTTGAACATAGTTACATTTCAACAAAAGAAAAGAGGCACTACTGGAGAAATCATGATAAAGGCTGATAAACTGCTGTTTTTGGGACATCAAAAACCATAAACATGAAGGTTTTATCAGAGGGAAACATTTATTGTGATCATATGCTAAAAGTGATTGAAGGTCTTCCAGTCCCGTAATAATGTGAGGATGATGAATTTCTTTAAGCAAATTTTAAACCTTTTTTCTTGAAGAGTGAGCTGAGGAATAAGTACTGGAGATCTTTTGTGCTGAAGTCTTTTCTTTTTTTAATGAAAGTAGTATTTTCACTGTGGGGGGTAAAGCTGTCTTCTTTTTTTTTATTTGAGTTTATCAAGTTTTTAATTATGCCAATTATAGTAGAATTAACACTTTCTTTCCTTCATCTGGAGAATTCATAGAAATTGGTTGATGTTGTAGCTGAACGTTGAATAAATGATAGATCTACGTATTTTAGTCTAACATATTCTTACAGAAGTTTTAGCTGCAATGTAGACACTATATCACTAATTGCTTCAAATTCTCTTTCAGTAATATTCTGCTCAATTCCACTGTCAATCATAGCTTTAGCAACAGTAATTTATAAACGTGCTAGGTTGTGTAATTCTTATATTGAAATGATACTCATAGACAGTGTTAGGCTTAAGGTAAAATAGCAAACATAGTGCACAGCAGAAAACAAATAGATTTGTACAACATCAAAATCCTCTGAGATTCTTTAAATAATGTATAAAAATAAGGAATCCCAGAGTAAAGTGAAGAAATAAGCTTATATAATGGCTATATAGGAAGATTTAAGATAAGAAAAAGACAGCTTACAACAGTTCAACAAGTTTAATTGTTATGTGAAGTTATACACAAACTTTTCTTTATGTTATTTTAATGTAGAAAAATGTCCATGTATAATTCTACATAATAATTTACCTATGTTATGAGTCTTAAAAAACAAGTTTAATTATCATCATCAGGTGCAAAGCAGAAGTCATTGTTATAGAATTACATGGGTGAATATGACAGTTTAAGTAAATCAATCTAAAAGCAGCTAAAGTATTATTGGTGAGTAAATGCAACATGGAACGAGGGTTTGTTTATAGAGGATTTTGTATTTCTTATTAGTAGGCTTTCTTTGGCTTTTCTATTACAATTGCTGTTTTTCTTGGAAAGTACATGGAAAGAAAGAGATGAGATTTTGTAAACAGAATCATGTTTATGTTGATTGATTTGCATGATTGTGCTTAGTTATGTGGGTATGGAAAAAGTAAGAAAGTCCTATTAATAAGTTCATCTGACACGTATTTAATAAAACCAATTTTTTGCATAAAAGTTTTGTGTATGGCTGTTAGGATTTCTCCTTTCCACGAGTTTTATCCCCATTTTCTGGGACAAAAGTAGTCATCATCCTTGGATTTCCCAGTTTATTTTGAATACGTATATATGGACAAATAAAGATAAATCCCAATATTTGATGTTAGCTATTCTACTTAGATATGAAAATAAAACAGTTATGTATTTAACTTTTACCTTATAAGTTAGATATTCCATTGAAAAATAAAAAAAGCCTTTGCAAAACAAATGAGAGAGAAAGACAACAAATCAAACATTAGGAGTTACCAACTCAGAAGTACAATACTAATCTTTTTTATTTTTAAAGTAGCTCTTTTAGAAAGCAAAGACAGTCAATACAGCGATCATCAAGTTTCATTCACATCTTGATTATAGAGAGTCCCACAGCTGCTTTCTCAGACTCTTATCGATGTCAGTGGGATGAACATCAAAGGATCAAAAATTAGATCCAAATTTTATGTCTGTTCTCCTGTTACTTCGAACACATCAAAATGTTTTTTTTCTGAGGCATTTACTGTTGTTTTCATCATATTTTTCTTTCTTTGAATCTCTTCTATCACCACATCAAGTTTTTATGCAGGCATCATTGTTTAATGCTATGATGAAACATCGTCCTCTGGCTCTGATTCAGAGTAAGACTCTTGAACCTTCAGCCCTCACGTAATCAAACATTCTCGCTAGTATCATCTTTGCTAGTGCTAATAATGTTGACATTGCCACTACTGCTGGTAATTCTCCTTGTCTGCCTTTGTGATTATTGTATAGCTCTCCACAATTCAAGTATTTTATAACAAGTATTGTGCTTCTTTTTTCTTGATTCTTTTGTAGAGAAATTCCTGCTTTTTTTTTTTAATGGAGAACTTTGTGTACACAACTCATCAAAAATACATATAAATACTCCCCCTGCACTTAAAAGTGTTGCTTCTCTGCTTCCTCTCACTTTTACTGGCTGCAATGTAGACACTATATCATTAATTGCTTCAAATTCTCTTTCAGTAATATTCTGCTAAATTCCACAGTAACATATCCAACAAGCTGTTCCACATAAGTTCCTTACCATGTTCACTTCTAACATATTTTTGTAGATTTTCTGAACATTTCCACAATTTTTTAACCTTCTTAATGACCGTGGAGATATTTACATTTCTACATTCATCTTCACCAATTGAATCAACAAATTTGTTGGCATCCATTACCAAATCATCCTTTGCCATATCAATTGCTGTGTTAAATGCTTCATCTTCTGCCTGTTCTAATTGTAACTCGGTGATTTCCCAGTCTCATCTATTGATGCTTCAATCTCTAATAATGTATCATTTTCTTGTATGAAACATCATGTACAGCTAAGTGTATTCCAGGAGTGTAACACATGATGATGAGTGTGACATTGACTTTTAATTAACCTGCCGTTACAATTGTGCCGTCAAAGATTTTATTTGTGACTGTTTGACAGAGTCTTTATCTGATTGTTAGTTTATGTATTTGGTCTTTTTATCCATACAAAGAAATTGGTGGAAATTGTAGCATCCTTGTTTTAAAGGATGTTTTTTCTAGTTTTCACAATTGATGTAGGAAATTATTCATAGCCAAATCCATTGCACATAGATGTTTGGTACTGAAATGCTGCAACTTGGCATGGCTTTAGTAAGTCATCCTTTTTTTACTCTAGTTGAATTATGAAAATCAAAATGTTATAGTTATCCCCAAGTCCATATTTTCAAGTTTTTATAAAAGATGTTTTAAACCTATGTGCACAGCATCAGCCCATTGGACTGACACCATATCTGCATCAAAATTTGGAAAGCTTTTAATAAACATTAAAAGTCTGTTGTCCATAAATCAGAAATTTTATTAAAGTATTTTTACTAAAGATTTATCTATGAATTTCTGAAGCCTTTACTGGGTCAGTCTTAGTGAAAAGTGAATTTTCATTCTAAGAATAAAAATACTTGTTCTGTTTTTAAAATGTTTACATTTTATTTGCATAACTTGTAGAATTTGCTAAATGAGTGTCAGTAGCTTTTCTTGTATAAAACTTTATACCTTATCTCCTATTTTCTCTACCATAACAATGACTGCAGTGAAAAATATGAAATGAAATCAAAATACCTTTTTTTTCTAGAATGAATACAGATTGTGATAGACTGTTACAACTATTTATCCTAACAGCTGTAGCTTCTACTCTTTTCACATATGCTTTCATTTAGTTTCATTGTTTTACAAACTTTCTCAGTACCATAACAGACTATTAGGTTACATAACATGACATCAAACTGTGTGCTCCTTATGCATACTTTGAGAAGTGTTCATGAAAAATTCAGGACTTAGTCTGAGACTGCTTTGTTCTCAGTTGCTTGCTTTTGTAACCCTACTTTTTTAAAACTATATTAGTTGTCCAAAAAATAATGCATGTAGCTTTCAAATATGCATGTTATAACACAAACAATATATCAGGAACTAATGTAATTTATATGTCTTTCTGACAGAAGTATAAACAAGTTAAAAAATCCTCAGAACAAGGGATTTAGTCTATACACATCAAGATCTTGTAAAACAGAAGCCTTTACTGCAAAAAATAAATAGACAGTTGTCAGGTCTGTGTATTTCAGAAAATTCTCTTCCTGTTGATTATAAACATGTTCACATGATAGGTAGGTGTGAGTTAAATAAGTGCCTTCAAAAGCTTGAAGAGGTGGGAAGAGTTTCTGCAGTGAGTGTGATGAATATAATGATATCTCACAAAATAAAGAAGGTGGGAGGTTCTGATTTCTGTATTCTGGTCTGTCAGTATCTATAGGTTGTGTTTCTAATTCGTTGACAACTCTGAACCCTATTAAAGGAAAAAAACTAAAAAGGAAAATTGAAAGAGGAGATGCATCTTATGACACAGAGATATGAAGATAGAGAAACTTATTTAAGTATTTCCTCTTGAAATTATGAAACTAAAACTTTGAATTATATACTGTTTTATTGTCAAGTTTATTACATAGTTTGATAATAAAATTGTTTAATTAAAGTTTGAATGTAACCCGGTAAAAGGGCATGACATGCATACTTTGAAATGAGCTGAGATTATGACGTTGAAACAGTTCACCATAAAATTTTCTGGAACATAACACCCTATTCAGCCCAGAACAAAACATATATAGTTATTTGATGCAGTGTTCTTACATGATTGATTCAATTATTAAAATTGAATATTTTCTTGTGCAGTTTTTTCAAGTGAAATAGAAAGTTTTAGTTGCTAAGATTTTACCTTTCTGTGTCCTTTTTCATTTGAAAGTTAGCAACAGTTATATTAGCACCTTAATTTGGTAATAATTACTGTACAAACTCTTTTGTTACAGGACTACCACCTAGCAAAACGTTATTACGATATGGCAGCAGAAACAAGTGCTGATGCTCAGATACCTGTTGCTCTAGCACTTGCCAAACTTGGAGTAATATATAGCCTACATTATGTAGAAGAGGTAAGATTTGATATGAATGAACTTAAAATACAAAAGACTCTGTTGATTAGTAACTAATTATTTAGTTTTTACTCATGTAGGATTTTCTTATCCTTTTAACCCTATCATAACCAGTGCATGCCTGAATACTAAAATTTAAGTAAATATAATAATTCTAACTCTACTTAAACAGTTTTTGTTTTTTTTACTGAATGTCACATTTATTTCACATAATTCACAAACAAAAATGAAACAAAAAACATTCAACTTTTAATTCTGCATAAGCAAGCAGCTCAAGTGCATGCCTCATGAAATATTATTATTATTATTATTGTTTATTTTACCTAATCTAACCTAAAGAGATCCCTATTTGTACATTTTAGTTACTTTATAATAATAAATAAAGAATAAACATGAAAAACAAGAAATAAAGTACTTTCCTGAGTATTCTTTTGTTTTTGCTGTTGACTATTGATGACACTTAACCATACTTTTTTAATATACTAATGGTAGCAGTGCATTAAATAATTTTTATTTAATTAAATAATGCACCAAAGAACATAGACAAATAATATGCAAAAAGCAGACAATTTCCTCTAAAAATCACAGTTTTTCTGGCTTTCTAACTATGTGACAAGAGCCATTACAAATTCATCCAAGCTAGCCATTGTGATTCCTGTGGAAACCAGATTTGTTTTACAGAAAACAACATAATAGAATACATCATTTGATAGATGAAAACATTGGCTTTCTATTGGTTATAGGTAATACATAATTAAACGTAATTTTTACTGATAATCTGCCAAATTTTGTTAAAATTTACTTACTAATTTAAAAGTTATAGCATGATAACTATAACAAGCACAAAATGGTTACGAGGTCAGTCCCAAGGACCAAGCCCATGCTAAAAGAGTTAATGGTATAGTTATGTTATTACTTAGTACATTCATAATGGCAAATTAGAAATTTAATGACTTAATTTATTTAACATCTTCCAAGAATATATTTACTTTCCTACTGTTATGGAAAGGGTTCTAGATTACTCACAAATGTAATCAAAAGTTTGGTACTATGAGTGATTAAAGAATAAAATCGTGTGTTTGTTTGTTGTTACCTCCACCACCTAAGGAGGTTACATTTTCACCCGTGTGTGTGTGTGCGTGTTTGTTGTTACCTCCACCACCTAAGGAGGTTACGTTTTCACCCGTGTGTGTGTGTGCGTGTTTGTTGTTACCTCCACCACCTAAGGAGGTTACGTTTTCACCCGTGTGTGTGTGTGTTTGTTTGTTGTTACCTCCACCACCTAAGGTGGTTACGTTTTCACCCGTGTGTGTGTGTGTTTGTTTGTTGTTACCTCCACCACCTAAGGTGGTTACGTTTTCACCCGTGTGTGTGTGTGTGTTTGTTT